AGTAATACTACACTCTACAGGACTGGATTTAATGGAGGGTTGTAGCATAGGACTCCCTACAGAGTTTTAAGTATAAAAATTACCATTAAAAATTTAAAAAATTTAATTTATTTTTCCTTTACAATATATTTTAATGTCAACAAATAAATAATACAAAATATTTATTATAGAAGTACACGTTGTTATATATATATATATTTTTTTTTTGTCATAAATGTATACATAACCCGCCAATGATGATATTAAATTAAGTCGAAAATAATTTTGAAAAAAAGCTTATTGTTTTAGACTTATGGTTTTTGATTTTCATTATTGTTTTTAAATATAAAGAGGTACATTACATGTTTAAAAAAGTAATTTCAATAACTCCAGTGTTATAGACATTACTATTAACATTAGTACAAATACATTTAGAGTTATTTTAGAGGATTTTCCAAGAGATTTTAACTTTAACAAAACACGTGTCTATAAAATAATATACTCCATATTATTCTCGATATGCATTGGTATGTTTTTCATCTGTATAATACCTACCTACACCTGTATAGGTATCAAAATTATTGTTTTAGTGTTAAAAACATTAACAAACAACAAAAAACGTTCGACATCAAACAAAAATAAAATATAGCCGATATGCAAATACGGGTACTCTTTACGTAACTATTAATTGAACCATTTATGAATATTCTTATAACTTTTCTATGTATAAAGTATTTTTTCACGGAAAAATAATTAATGTTGATACCAATTAATTTTAATTTTTTAAGGCATTATTGCCTCAAAGCAGAAACCAGCGTGCCAGCGTATAATACTTTTAATTTTTAATCTAACAAAATACTATTGCCTTTGTCGCAGACACAATAATGAACCAATTTCAGAAACTTTATAAAAAATGATGTGCATACACTACGGGTATAGTCTTTCAAATCTAAAATCAAACCTTGTCTAACTGCGCTTTGTCAGAGTATGATATCAAATTTTACTATTGATTGTCAGTCGTTTTTAATTATTAATCCCATTTTGTGAAGATTTAATTATTTTCGAATAGTTATTAATGTTATTCAAAGTTATTAAAATGGACATTAAATGAACCAGTTAAGAAGTTACATAATAATTATTATTATATGCCTACCAAAAAACTTCTTTTAGAAACTATATACTCAATGAAAGATTATGAAAGCGCATTATAGTGGTAGTTGCCTTCTGAATATTATGATAGTGAATTTCTATTGCAATCGTATTATACCTTATATGAATGCATAAATAACATGAGTTAGTGTTCAAATTTTTCATTTTCATAGTCAAATTAATCTCACTTTTGGTTAGCTATACAACCCCAATTTATGACACTAATTTATTTTACTTCCAAAAAAAGCGTCCATGTTTTAGTATTAATTATAAATTTTCTCATCTAAAATTTTGATAAGTTTTTTAATTTATTGTTTGGTTGCATTTAATTATTATTTAATTAATTGTTGGAATAAGTTTAATAACTTATGTTGTAGGTATTAGATGTAATAAATTTAGATTGATACGAAATTAATATAGCAGGTGCTCCTTCCCATATTTTAGAGTATTATACTCATTGTTGACAAATTACCTACTAGTAAATTATAAAATACCTTAGTAAATATTTATGAGTATTTATCTACATGCAAATCTAATGAAACTGGGTTAAGAATTAAGAATTAAACGATATTTTATTATAAATTTAAATTAAAAATAAAGTGTTACAGTTATACTTTAACGTGGTACCGAGGTAAATCAAACATGACCAAATAAATAACGAAAGTTCCTAGGAAAATATTTTTTTTAAGCTTTAATTTACCTATCTGTTTTGCGAGCTTCATTTTTAAATTCATGTTAGTTCAAACAGTTCTATTACAATATGTTCTAATAAAAGTTATTAACATCAGCCATAAATAGTAAACTAATAATAATGAAATAATTATTATAAGTTAGTTGTACTTATGCAATATAAATTCATGCGTATAGTGCATACAAGTACTAACTACAATAAATAATTGTTATTTAGTTTTTTGTCCAGAAAAATGTTTTATAAAATAGTAAAAACTAAAATGTATTTTAATCTCTTTATTTTGTATAATAATATGGTCTGTTTATTATCATTATGTATATTTTTATAAACTCTAATTTAAATTTCTAACATTAGTTTTTACTCCGACATGATACTATGTTTTTGCATTAAACAGATTTATAATAATATTTTTGGTACCTTTAGAAAACCTATTTGTCCAGTGTTTACTACCGTTTGAATAATTTTTTTTTTCAAACATATTTAATGAATGTCTTAAATGTATTATGTTTATTTTTCATCCAGTATAGTATCACAGTTATCTGGTAAACATTGTACCTTTCCTTATTAATCAGTAATCACCTATAGGCTATAGCAAATTATAACTATTTATTATTAGTTATACTATATAAACCGTGTATAGTTATTTCGGTCGTTTGATTTAATAAACGCCTCGCTGACCTATAGCAAAATAATTAATATATATAAATAAATATGCATAAAAAATTGTTAAATGATACCTAATATTTCTGTATTTTCTCAGTAAACAGTTTTAACATAACTAAACCTTGCCCAACTGTGATTAACATAATATATTGATCAACGATAAATCCTGTAATATTATAGTCATAGATATAGGTTCCATACTTAACAATAATACCTAGGTACCTGAAATATAGAGGTAGTTATATAGGCTGAATAATATTATTATCTCGAGTATTTGTTCTTTTGTCTTATTATAATGTTACTGTAATTAAACACTTTCGGTAAAAACACTTATACAGTTATACGTATTAATTCATAGTCTGAATTCAATAGATGAATTGTTCATATTATTCAATGCAGAACGTATACTACGTACATAAGTTTTATATTAAATATAATATACACATTCCTTGGTCCTATAAACTAATACATAACTACTATAATATGTAGACTAAAAATTTTAGTCCAACACATTTTCCTATATATTTTTTTTTTTAAACACAATATGAATATTTAAAAATTATATACAATAACAAAATGATATATTAGGGAGGTAGGTAGGTTACAATGCATACAAAAAAAATAGTAATAATGAAATTCAATTTTTGTTTATGTGCGTGCTAATTTCCATCTTTATTTCGACTTTTACATAGTATTTAAATAAATTAAATATGATTAATTATTGTTTAAAAATATAATATATTATATAAACATACATTATGGAATATGGCACCAGTCGGCAAAACATTTTATGCAACTAATCTATTTCATATAAAATACACATGACACACGCTATGTGAGTATATAACTGTGTATATTATAGTCATTTTAAAAATAAAATCCAGCATCATGGTATTTTTGAAATATTAGTTTTTACATGGAAGCTTAAAATATAGTAATAATTAGAAGAATATAAAATAATTAATATTATTGTATTGTTTTTCATTGGCTGTAGAATTTAGGACATAAGTTTGGTACTCTTATTTTGTCAACAATAATAACAATAAAAAAAAAAAAAAACAATGAATGAGTAATTATTCAAAAAGTTGTACTTCTACCTATTTAGTTTAGTGCATTAAATTATACTGTTGAAACAATACAGCCTGTACATCCTCTTGAAACATCAACATTGTTATTTTTTTAGCTCATAAAGTTTAGTATATTTTTTGGAGTAGGTAAGCCCATTGCAAAGTAGGTACAAATTAAAGCAATTAATCAAGTTAATACCATTATATTCTGCGCAGATGCATAGAGTAGCGTATTTTTTTAGCTTAGTCATTTAAGTATAGCATTGTAAATACATCGATCGATAAACAAACCATAAATTATAAAATTACATAGTTTTCAGAAACAAATACTTACCTAATTATAAAATAATAGTTTCTAATATTATGATTTTATTCATGCAACAACTCTTATCATATTAAACCTTTCATGACTGTGTAAAGAGTTATTTTATAGTGTCTTACAATACTTTAAATAATATTAATTGTACTTACTAATAATTTTATACCTATATGTGTTTAATTCTAATTTTTTTAATCTAATATTTTTTAATATTTAATTAATAATATTATAGTTTCATACGTGCATGCCATAAGAAACACGTACATTTTACCTAGGTATATTAAATACTCAGGTTTTCAAAACAAAATTTTACACATTACTCCATAAAAAAAATTTATCCTAAAGTTAGATAAGAATTAAATATCACGGTTTATCAATTTTTTCCCCAGAATGGTAAAAAGAATATAAATGTTGTAATAATTTTATTCTTCGGTTAAGAAATATTTTGAACAGTTAAAATATGTGAATATAATGCACTTTATAGAAAACATAATTTTCTATTTCTATCTATCGAATGGGAAACATATTTTTAACAAAAATTTACTGTTAGTCCAATCATATGCAATTAAGCTCAAGAGGATGTTAATACAATACAAGGGGGTTTCTTTTACCATTGAACACTCATTATTTTAAATTTAAGTTCAACTTCAGCATAACCAATTCTGTGTAATAAGCTTAAGCTTAAAATTGAACAAACAATAAGTACCTATCAATAATAAAATTATCTAGAGAACAGAGAACCAAATATGCATAATTTATGTAAAATTTTCTTTTATTGATTTTAAAAGGCTAAGATTAATTTCGCACCCACCATCAACATAGGTTAACTCAATGAGTCTATGCGGATCTTTACACAAATCTTTTATGGTATAAGATATTATTTTACTTTTGAGTTTAGTCATAAAACTTAGTATATGTAGTTGGCCAAATACAAAACCACAAGATACGGTGTTTATTACAATAACGAGCAAATCAATTTGTCAAAAATAACATTTAAACTAAATCGATACACAGTGTCACACACTTTATACACCAACAGAGAATACTCGCCGAAGACCTCAGCTTAATTGAATTTTTACACCACACACAGAAGACACACTCAACTTCCAGACCAATCTCGTGTTAACTCGTCATGCAAACCGCAAGAAACCTGTTTGGGTCCATGGTCACCGCGTCACGTCTTGCACTGCAACAGTCGTCAGCCGTTCGGGCGAATAGTACTAATATAAGAAATGTATCAGGGTGTGGTTCACCAAGTCACATAAGGAACATCGGATTTAAACTTCCGTTTTGGAATTCGACTCCATCTACCGATGGTGATTCAACACCGAAACCTCCGTCAGGCGGATGTGGGTCAACACCGAAACCGCCGTCCGGTGGCTGCGGATCATCACCAAAACCCCCGACCGGTGGATGTGGGCCAACACCGAAACCGCCGTCCGGTGGCTGTGGATCTCCACCTAAACCTCCGTCTGGTGGATGCGGATCTCCACCGAAACCCCCGACCGGTGGCTGTGGATCACCACCGAAACCTCCGTCAGGTGGATGTGGGTCAACACCGAAACCCCCGTCAGTCGGATGTGGATCACCACCGAAACCCCCGTCCGGTGGCTGTGGATCTCCACCTAAACCTCCGTCTGGTGGATGTGGGTCAACACCGAAACCCCCGTCCGGTGGCTGTGGATCTCCACCGAAACCCCCGTCCGGTGGATGCGGGTCAACACCGAAACCTCCGACCGGTGGATGTGGGCCAACACCGAAACCCCCGACCGGTGGCTGTGGATCACCACCGAAACCTCCGTCAGGTGGATGTGGGTCAACACCGAAACCCCCGACTGGTGGCTGCGGATCTCCACCGAAACCCCCGTCCGGTGGCTGCGGATCTCCACCTAAACCCCCATCTGGTGGATGTGGGTCAACACCGAAACCCCCGTCAGGCGGATGTGGATCACCACCGAAACCCCCGTCCGGTGGCTGCGGATCTCCACCTAAACCGCCGTCCGGTGGCTGCGGATCTCCACCTAAACCCCCATCTGGCGGATGTGGATCACCACCAAAACCTCCAACTGGTGGTTGTAGTTCTCCGCCAAAACCCCCGTCAGGTGGATGTGGGTCACCACCGAAACCTAAATCGGGAGGCTGCGGATCGCCACCAAAGTCGGGTGGCTGTAAATGATATGTACCGCCAACTTAACTTAGTTCAGATGGACTGCAATGTCAATAAAACAGAAACTACGATACAGATGTATACACAAAGTGTCATAAGATTTTTTATAATGTTTTCATACAACTATGAATAAAGGTTTTATTATCTAGCAGTACACGTTTTCTTAATACTATTAATAATATTAAATAGGTACATTAATGCAGGCGTTTGACAGTGTGGTGACGTCATTTTTAGGAACAAAAAAAAAGATTTCAGCAAATGTTAATGTGTTGCGTATTAAAGATTAAAACAGTGGGGTAAGCCCTATGTGAGTGGCAGCAAAATATTAGTATGCAATTTATTTTGAAAAAAGTGTAAAAGCGAATTTAGATTAGAACATAATAAGTTTTAAATCAGTTGATCCGGAAAATGATATGAAGAAATTTGTAGCAATATAGAAGTAACAAAATACTAAATGGTTATTATGTGCCTACTTAATTTAATTTTAAAATAAAATAAAAGTAACGAGTAGAAAAATTGTGTATAAATTTTGAAGAATTACTTTTGTAGTTAAAAATTTAGGGGTGACACAAATGTTAAAATTAGGTTACTTTTAGTCTTTATTAACACAATTGATGAGGTACTCAACTAATGTAATACTTAATTCTTTTGCATCTGTTATTTTATTATTTATTGAAAGTTTAGAATTTCAACAGTTTGTAGTTTGAATAATAAACTGACTTTATTCTGAATAATAAACATTTGACTGATTTTTGTAGTCAATAACATGACTTTTCATAATTATATTATTTTAAATTACTTGAATTCAAAATACTTATATGAAACTAATTTCGGTAATTATTTATTTCATAATCTATTATAAGTAAATCAGCATTCAAATATTTTAAAAGTAGTATACAAATTATTATAAATATTATAAGGTGGTGACAAATTAAGTGTACCTAAAATGTTGTCACACAAATTTATATTGGAGAAATATTTAATATTTAATCATACGATTATTTTTAAAAATATTTTTAAATTCAATAAGTATTTTGTTGTTTTTTTATATTTAAAACATTATAACATCACGCATTTGAGTTGCACAGTATCATTGCATGTAGGTAGTAGATACGTGAGTATTGATTAAAATTAATTAATTAAAATAACTTAAAAAATAATTGTGTTATTAATATTTATCAATAAGCAACTGATTATTTAATCTGTATTATAGGCTAAATTGTAATTAAATTTACGATTCGTAAAAAGGTATCAATCATGTCATACAAACACGCAATAATAAAAATATATTGACTATGAGTTAATTCCTAAGAGACCGCTATTGATATATATTGTGGATGATATTATACGCTTATTTTATGAAAGAAATTTAAAAAAACGAATATGCTATAGAACTAAGCAAACCATAATATGATTGTATGATCGGGTCGTAGAATCGATGGATAGTCCGTCAACGCAATTTTCAAATAATGTTATTACATTTAAAAACACGAAATTCTGAACGAAATCGATCGTTTTTCTCCAAGTAGTTATGCGATAATTAATTAATCTTGTGAATCTGCAGACCATGTACAATTTACAGAGCGTCTTATTTACAGTACCCATGGGTACCCATGGCCTTCGTCAGAAGAAAAAAATGAGATTATTCAACTGGCATCGAATAATTAGTATGAAATACAATATCAGTGGAGTATTTCTGTGCAAAACGGAGAAAAAAACGGAACAAAAAACGTACCGCCCGGACAGGGACTCGAACCCTGGACCCTTAGGTTAAAAGCCTAATGCTCTGCCGACTGAGCTATCCGGGCTCATGAATTTTTACATGTCATATTACATCTTTGAGTTAAATATTATTGTAACGGTGTAATTTTTGTAAACGAGATTTTAAAGTTGCTGAATAAATGACTGGATGTGGTACCGCAATCGCAATTACGTTGTACTTCCCCCTACATTTGGAACGCCTTAACTTTTAAAAAAATTTCATTTTACATCGCGGTTTAGCTATAAGACGCATTATCTGCCGGGTGCAAACAAATTCAACGTCGTCGTTGATTTACAGCAGTAATATAAAAATATTACATTCAGATTGAACAGTCACAACGCTGAGTAGAGTGAAATACTGAGAGTAATCGTTCCACTGCAAACGAACGGACTCCATATTTTATCGACCTGTGGCCGCTCGACAAAGCTGTCTGGCCACAATTTAAAGGTACAAAACCCGGCGTTGTGGACTGTAAAACCCCTATATAAAATCTATAATAATATAGTGGTATGATTTTAAATTTTAAATTATTAACGTATTTCAGGTCACAACCTTAACTGATCGCTATTTTTCAAATACTTTTAAACATAAAATTAATTACTTCACAAAGGCAATAGGTACACAAAATATTTAACACTTGAACAAAAATCCTAGGAAACCCTGAGTTCCATAAAATTAAAATATATTTATTTTTCAAATACTAATTTAATTGATAGTACAAGTGATGCAATGGAGTTGTTGGTTGTTGCATCAATATATTATTATATTCAATAATAAATAGATAATCATTCAAATAAGTGGACTTAGAATAGGCACCTATGTCTTACATCATACTATATAATAATATGAAAAATAAAATTAGTTCAGTAGTTAATAATCTCTTCTGCCTCCATATAACCTATGAATAATTTGAAGTGAAAACCCGGGATTTAAATTTATATAAAAATTTGGAGATAGGTTGATGGGAGTTACCCGTTTCCGCCAAAATAATATTGGCCGTTTCCGCCATAGCCCTTTTCCACCAAAAACGAGAAAAAGGTTCGATTCCCGTTTTCGCCAAAAGACATTTCCGAAAAAAAAAGTTTGAAAACCAATGGTCTTAATTTTTAAGCAATATTTATGTTTTGGTATATATAAAATAAAATAGTAATGTAAAATGTAGGTAATAGCAATGTCATTTGTAAATAATTGCGAAATTGCGAATAGGTACAACAATATATTATAGCGAATATATTTTTGTGAAAAGACGTTTCCGTCAATTTAAGAACCATGTACAAATCTTATATATTCTTATCATATAAAAATATTTTTATTATTATAAATTATAGTACAAGTAGCTAATAATAATATATTATATTTAACTATTTCAAATTATAATACAAGTATAGGTCAAATATAGTCTCAATAGAATTTTGAAAAAACATATCGTTATTTTTAAATAATTAAAAATGTCATAAAAAATATTAATTATTATAATACAAGTATATGTCAGGTTTTAAGAATCACATTCTTAAGTATAGGTTAGGTTTTAAAAGATCATATAATTATAAGAAACAGTTTTGACAAACGTGTACCTACTAATTTCATTGGAACTTTTTTTTGTAATTGCTTTTCAGTAGTTTTTAAACGGTTTAATATTTTTATTTTACATTACTATTTTATTTTATATATACCACAACATATATATTGCTTAAAAATTAATACTATTGGTTTCCAAACTTTCTTTTGCGGAAATGTCTTTTGGCGGAAAAGGGAATCGTACCTTTTTCGTTTTTGGCGGAAAAGGGCTATACCTAAATCAGGGAACCGGTTTTTTGGCGGAAACGGGCGATGCCCAGGTTGATAGCCTGCACGTCTACACAGTTAGTGAGTTATGACTGTAAAGTACTCCGAGATACAAAAGTTCAGTGGAGACCGCTGTTTTCGTTTTTTCCGTGTCATTATTACTTTCCCCTACTACTATATCATACAGGTCGATTGCTTAGTGTTCTATGCATATTTCAAGAAACTCACGCGTAATATAATATGATTATGAGTTATAATTTAGGTTATATTCACTGTAGTGACTAGTGGAGGCTAATAATAATCCACTAATAAAACCCAAAATAACATAACATAGGGCATTAGGGTAAAATGGTAATAATAACGTTATAAATATTATTAAGAGCCTTATATCCGTCCGAACGCGAGGCATATAGTTGGCATTCGTTATTGTATACGGTGGATCGTTTTGCTTGGTAGGCGCAAGCGAATATGAGGTCTATGAGAAGTAAAACTGATTATAAAGTCCAGTGGTTCTCAACGTTATTATGGTTCACGGCACACTATTATATAACACAAGTTTTCTCGGCACACTCACGCACTTGACAATCATATCAACTTCGGAAACTTCGCTGGAGGCAATAATTATCGCCAAGCCTTTATACAATATACATGTATGACTCGACACACCTAGTCGATCCAGCGGCACACTGGTTGTGAACCACTGATATAATATTCTATATTTTATTGGTGAGATCCTACTACCTAGTATCCTCTCCGTTGCTCCTACGTCAGCCTTAAAATACGTTTCCATAGTAAGAACAATCATAATAGACAAAGGATATTAATACAATATAACAAGTTTATTGTTTATACAGCCGAAAACCTAACTAAAAATATACACTACAGTAAAATAATAAAATATCATCATACATATTAGATTATATGCATTAAATTGCTGCAGAAATGTAGAAAAAAAAGTATTCTAAGTCTGATGTACCAACTATTATTGAAAAAGTTGGCATGTTCCATAATTAATGGTAAATGTTACTAACAATAACGGATTAATGCTAAATTTAAAATTATGTATACACAGACCAAAAATATATTCTATATTTCTATATTATAATGTATTCATGTAGATGAATGACGTCTGTAGTAAATTCTGTCTATTGCTGCAGCATCAGCAATTGAAGAATAAAACTGCTAAAGCAGACCCGTGGAGTAATCGAAAAATAATTATGTAGTTCAATATAAAACGATTGATAGTGGACAATTTACAATTCCCCAAAATAAATAGTTATGATGGTGGGTATGTCGTTTTTTATAAATAATCATGATTTCATTAAAATGTACTGAATAAACCATTACAATTTTAAGAACATTATTATAATGCATATAAACCAACATGCTGCTATAATACTGCTATTATATGCCTATGCTTAGTTTTAATGAGAATTTATGTAAATTATATTTAAATTATAAC